GAGGGGAAGTCCCTCTATGAGATGGATTGATTCGGTGACTGGGGTAATCGGGATGGGTGTGTCAGAGGCAGTGCGGTTGGTGCAGGATAGAGCAGGTTTTAGAGCTGTTGTGCATAGGGTCGCTATGAGTCGGAAACGACTTGATGGCACATAACAACAACAACAACAACAACTTCAATATTCAGAGTATTTTCTGACATTCATCTTGGTCTTTTCTTCCTCCTCTGTCTGTAATGAGCTCTTGCATTCTTCCTTCATTATATTCTTGATATCCTCCCAAAGCTCAACCAGTCTTTTCTCATTAGTGTTCAAGGCCTTAAACCTCTTCCTGAGATGGTTTTGGAATTCAGGTGGAATTGACTCAAGGTCAAATTTTGGTTCCTGTGGATTTAATTTTCCTTAGCTTCACCTTGAACTTGTATATGAGTAGTTTCTGGTCTGTTCCACAATCAGCACCTGGCCTGGTTTTCACAGCTGATAGTGAGCTTGTCCAGTGATTCTTTCCAGAGATGTAACTGATCTTTATTCCTATGAATACTATCAAGAGATGTAACCGATCTTATTCCTATGCATACCATCAGGTGAAATCCATGTGTATGGCTTGCATTTATGTTTCTTATAAAACATATTTGCAATTAATAAGTCATTGATAGTGAAAAATTCTATCGTTCTATCTCCAACTTAATTTCTGTCACCAAGCCTATGTTTTCCAACTATTGATACTTCTTCTCTGTTTCCAATTTTACATTCCAGTCACCCATTATTATTAATGCATAATGGTAAACAAAATCAGACAATATAACCAAGAAATGACCCTACTTCTTCATGCTGCCTGTTCATGTTGCCCAATCAGAAAGACTGCTTTCTATCTAAAATGTTATTTTGTTTGATGTCACTATATCCAAAGTCAGAAATCCATTTTCTTTTTAATTTTATCTTTCAGGCTTGATTGTTAACATTTATAATAATTTTCAAATTAATGAAAGGAAGGTAAAAAAATAACTACCATACCTTTTCCCCTTATCAACTGCATTTACATTTGCTTTCCTCTGTATTAAATATTCCACCATTTGTGGTTGATTTTCACTTATTGCAAATAAAAGTGGTGTTAAATCATCCTGTAAAAAAGCAAAAACAGTTAATAATTTACAAAATTTGACATTTCGCAAGAAAATCTTAAAAAAAGATGCTAGAAACAAAAGCATATATTACAGAATAATAATAAAAAGTAGTCTCTTCCTTTACGCCTCACTGTTTTTCCAGGTGCTGTTCTTTGTTTGAAACGTGTGCCCCTCCTTCCTTTTACCTCTTTACTAAATCAGCTCCACGTTCATTTCAAACATTTACTAGTTCATAGAATGTTTGCTTCTATTACAGCATTTATCATGGTAAATTGGAATTAGTTCTTGCTCCCTGTTGCTGTTGTTAGGTTCCATAAAACTGAGTACAAGACTCATAGAAAAACCATGAACACAAGATCTGAACTCCGTTCTATCCTGTGCCATCCTTACACTTCTGACACATTAGAGCCCACTGCAGTAATCACCATTTCGAACTACCTAGTTGAGGGTCAAGAATCGGCAAGAACAGCAAAACCTTTAACTGTGGGTAGCACAAATGCAAGAAGCCTCAGGTCACACCTTAACACAATTTCTCCACAGCAATGTTACACAGTATGCCCACCATCACCACCAGGGTCTCAATTCACCAGAGACTTGCTCCAGTCTCCCTCAAGTCTTGCTTGTCTCAAGTCTTGCTGTCACATGTTTTGCTGCTCAGGGTGGGAAACAAGACTATCTTGTATCCCAGTCTCACAGCAGTTTATAATTTGTAAGATCATGTGTCTGCAGTTAGCTCGAGATCAGAGGGGGCTAATTGCAGTGGTTAAAAAAAGGCAACTTTTAGGCTAACAATGGAGCCCACCCTCTTGCTCTTTTTAGCCATTATTTCTCATGATCTAAAGGATCGAATTTTCCCTTTCCACCACCCATATCTAGGGAATATATAATCCAGCTGATTTACTACTTACTCCCTTCACTTCAGATAGCCAATGGAAACTGTTAAGATTCATAATTCTAAGAATATTTCTAACATTGTACTACCTGTTTGTATTTAATTCTCCCTAATTATTAATCAAAGATATAACTTATAGAATAGCTAAAATTGAATAAGAAAATTGTTCAATTATTTATTACTAACTTCATGTTCATAATTTTTAAAACTACCATCCTAATTATGCCAATGTTCTGAGAATTTAGCAAGCATACTGAGATAGATATTCTATAACACTGCTCCCACTAAAAGAAAAACAGTCCATGTTTTGCTATGATTCCATAAGTAGAACCCTGCTTGTCATAAACATTTATTGACTCGATGAAAACGAAGAGATTAAAATTATTTAAGGAGCCAGCCTCTTATCTAATAAATACCCATATGCAAATTTGTAAAGTTTGACTGTGATCAAGAGGTTTAAAAGTGTGATTCTATAAGCCAATAGATGTTGCTAATAGACATTTAACTTAACAGTCATCAAGGTAGAAAAGAGAAGTATGGTAAAATGAGTTCCTGTATGTGACTTTTTGCTTTAGTTGTTTGGAATAGAGCTTGAGAGATTTTCCCTTAACTATAAGGAGTTACTTTTGCCCTAGCTATCTATCCCAAAGGGTTTGTTATGTATGTCCAGCATGACCCTGTATGTCACTACTGTTCATGGCCAATCTTGTTCGCTCAGGGTCTTCCTTCACTTTAGGCAAAACAACTGACTCATTCTTTCCTGAAACAAGATTTATTCTCAGAATTAGAGAGGATGTTAGAGAATTAGAAGGAAGAAAAAAAGAAACAACACAACACAAAGCTTCATATCTCATCAATTATAAAATTTAAAACTAAAATGTAAATTTTTTTCCCTTTTCTTTTTAGCCTCCTCTCCTACTCTCATTTCCCCACCCTCTTGTGCATCCTGACTGCCGGCAACAGCTGGATATGGGCCCCATGTTCCATCTCCATCCATTTTCAGGGCTAGTTGCTTTGGCAGGTGAGTTGTCACATACTCCTTAGTGGATTCTGGCGTTCATGGACTCTACCAGGTAACCTGCATAATTCTGATTGTTCACTCCTACTTCATTAGTCTTTTTTCCCTTTTAAATTCTTGGACTCCCAGAAAAATTACTATCATATGCATCACATTTTTTAAAATTAAACTAGACATAAGTACATTATTACTCCATTAATAGAACAACAAAATCTATTATAAAATATTTATTGTTTTAATTTTTATTAAGCTGTGTGGTGTCAAATGTTTATAATTAAAATTTTTTCCTAGCCAATGAGTAACTGTCTATTTTCTGTTGAAATATTTATTGTAATAAAGAGAGAGGGTTAGGGTGGGATACAAGCCCCACTTTACTAGAGGCTTATATAAGCTCATTGCACCTAAGTGCTATCTCTCTTTTTGGGTTGCCTGTCTTTCCAGCTACACCGAAATTGATAGTTTACAATGCTCATTAGTCTCTGCAAAATGGGCCTGCATATCTACAGTCATGTGGGTCATTCTCCAGGTGATCTGTGTCTCTGGTAGACCTACCAGGTAAAACCCCCAAACTCAAGGGACATAGACTAGTGAGGGAGCTGAACAAAAGAGGGGACTGTTAATATTGGAAATCATGAAGCTATGAAGAAAAGAAAATATTTGGGACAATATTGACTTAGTACTTCTTATAACTGGTGTGCTGCTAATCTTAGCAGAATGGATTATGAATCCAGAAACATATGTTAAAAGCAAATTAAGTTTTCCTGTATTGTTTTACATTTTTATTATATAGGTTAAAAAACAACAGCCGAACAGTGTCATAAATTGTTGTGTTAGCTTAAAAGTTAGCTTTTCTAGCCATTACATTAGCCTCTCCTAGTCTCCAGCTACCTTAACTGCAGAAACATAATCTCTTGCAAATTATCAAAAGCTGTGGGACTAGGATACGAGAGAGAGAGTGCTTCCCACATTGAGCAGCAAAACTTGACAGAGACTGGAGCAGGACCTTGATGAGAGTGAGAGCCTGGTGTAAATATAGCAAGAGCCACATGGAGATGACTATGTCTGACCTTTATCAATTTGACAAAGGGGAAATGTCCCTGTCCACAGCATCAATAAAGTAAAACCAATTCCAATAAGGTCAGAAATGTCCCACATGCTACCATACCTCTTTTCATTCATCTCAAGAAAAATCTTATTGCTTTATGGGGTCCATTATTTGAGGTGATAGCTCACAGACTACTCAGAAGCATATTAAGGAAGTCAAAAGGTTAGAATTCAGATTAATAACGAATACAACATAGATCCTAAAATGTGCATGCAGGCACCTCAGCCTTGAGCCTTGCACCTTCAGGCTAGTGGTTCCTGAGCTCTTACTCCTGCCAATATTGGCACTTACCACCTCCCTTCAATTGTCCAGCAAATTTTCAGTCCTACAAATATTGGTTTCCCACCCAGATGTCCAAAAAATTCTCAGTCCTGTCACTATTGGCTTCCCCATCCTCCTAAGGTCTCATCTCACATTACCATCTCAGGTCAGATCTCTAGCTCAGCCATGGCTACTGCTTTTGTCTTGATGTGTGTTCTATATTTTCACCAAGGTGGGGCAAGGGCTCTTTTCATTTCATTTGCAGGGGAAGATACCATCTTAGAAGCTAGAGCTGTTCAAGTTATTGGTGAAGACTAGACCATCCCCTTGGAGATTGTTGAGACTGGCCAGTCCTCTTGTGGAATTGTTGATATTCAGTCCTTTTATGGATAGGCCAACATGCTCCATTCACATAGTCTCATCCATCCACATGGTGAGTAATTCACATTCAAATAATGCTAAAAAGTCATATTGAAAGACAAACTCCATAACTGGTGAGATTAAGACCCCGGTAAGAGTGAGACCCTGATGAGAGTGAGACCCTGATGGAGAGATCCTGGTGATGGTGGTGGAGAGACTGTAGCACTGCTGTGGAGAAACTGGGGCAAGGTATAATCAGAGGGTCCCTGAGAAAAGGCCACAGTTAAAGGTTTTGCTGTTCTTCGAGATAATGAAAGGAAAAACTGACTGCTAAAGTGAAAGCAGAGCCTGGACTGAGAAACTGCTAGGCTAAAACCCGGACTTGTATTGGAAGATATTCTTTGTCTCCTCCACTCTTCAACTAACTTCCCTAATAAAACCACTCTTGGTCCCACAGTCTATGAGTCAACAATAAACAAATTAACCTCTTGCTGCTATTCTGGCAATAGAGGCACTATAGGACTGGGCTACAAGCTCTTTATCTCTTTCTTCTCTGGGGTGGTGAGAGGTTGTGCTATTCTCACTCCCTCTGGCTCTTTCAGAGAGACACTCATGGCCCTGTGCTCTCATGTCCCATTTTCTGCTCTCTAGATATGAATTAAGTTGTGTGTGCCACAAAATAAATGAAATACATGTCATGTTAACTCTCTGTGGCTTCTTAGTTACTGTAATCATGTGTTTAGCAGTTATACTGTGACCCAGTCAGTCTTGTGATCTGATCTGATGTGAACAGCTATCAGAAATAAGATTATTAGTATGGGAAGCATTACCCTAACTCAAATAATGGCCTTGATTTGATGTAAGGCTAGTTTCCTCTATGCTGTGGCATGATAAGAGATAAAAGGAGTATGAAGCAAGCACAGGACTGACCTGACAACCATCAAGAAAGAGAAGCCAGGAGCTGAACAGGTCCTTTGGACCACGCTCCCTGTGTTGTGAATTCCCCAGACCTATGGGCGGAGATTAATGTCAAGACACTTGGAGATATTCAAGGAACACTAGGTTCAGGGATGCTGAAAAGAGACAAGGATTTTCTGTCTAAACTACAAACTAACAGATAAAGCCTTTCTCTAGAGTTGATACTCCTAAATCAGACTCCTAAATTGACAAATAAATTTGCTTCTGAATATCATCTTTATCAGGATAAAGCAAATATGGAGCCCTGATAGCATGTGCAGAGGTGCTGACCAGAAGGTGAACAATTTGGATCTGCCCGTCAGTCCACAGAAGAATCTCCCTTCGATAAGGATTCACAGTCTTGGAAATGTGATGAAAGGCCATCATGAGTCAGAATCAACTTGATGGCACTGGGTTTGGGGTTTGGAGAGGAGAAGAGTATTGAACATGCTGCCAAGAGAACTAACAGGTATGTCCTGGAGAGGGTGATGCTACTCCTTAGAGGCAAAGATTTTGAGGTTCTGTCTCACATACTTTGGGCATGTTGCCAAGAGGGACCAGACCTCAAAGACATCACAGTCAGAAGGGTGGAGGGACAGTGTAAAAGAGGAAGACCTTCTATGAGATGGATTGACACAGTAATTGGGGTAATGTGGGGTATGTGTGTCAAAGACAGTGAGGTTGGTCCAGGGTAGAACAGGGTTCAGAGCTATTGTGCAGAAGGTCATTATAAATTGTGGTCAACTCAACAACACATAGCAACAACAAGGCATATATAAATACATTTGGGAAAAGCTTTACTTTTAACAATTAGAGTCAACGTTTTGATGAATATTTGTCATAAATACATAAAAGACAGCAGCAACCCTCTAATGTTTCTTTTAGAAGTACCATTACAGAGAAATCTTGAACATTTAAAAATCTTTTCATTCAGAGAATGCCTGGCCTTTCAAACATGTGAAATTAAGCCTATTTATATCAGTATTTTTAAAATGTGGTAAAAGTATTTTGTAAATATAATTGTCTTAACAATACCTGGTTCTTTGCTTCGATATATGCATTGCAATTCATCAAACTTTGCACAATTGACAGATTTTCACCACAGACAGCATAATGGAGAGCTGTATTGCCATTGACATCCTTAAGATTCGGATTAGCACCATGCTCTAGGAGAAGGTTTACACATTCCTCTCTCTGGTATTGCACAGCCTGTCAGAGAAAGAGGGTTTAAGCCTAGGAGTTAGAAGCAAACATCTCACACACCAAACCAATAGCTCTAATTAAAAAAAAAAAAAGACAAGCAAAAAAATATTGGCAAGAATATAGAATAATTGAAACTTTCATACATTTGCTGGTAGGCACTTAAAATAGGGCTGCCACTGTAGAAAACTAACAAAGTTAAGCAGAAATGGCTATGACCTAGATATTTCAATGGGTTGTATATTCAAAGGACTTAAAAGCAAGAACTCAAACAAATATTTGTACATTGTTATTCATTACAGCACTATTCATAACATTTAAAAGGTAAAAACAATTCAAATGACCATCAACTAAAGAATGAATAAACAGATGTGTTAAAGTCATACTGCTCTTGAAGCAGAACTGATACATAGCTGACCATCCAGTGGGTTTTCAGAAGCAGTAAATAGCAGAAGAGATTGCCCATCTTTTTCTTGTGGAACAGCTGGTGGATTTGAACCATGTACCTTTGAGTTGATTGTGGAGCCAAGCAAACTAAAGCTGTGAACAATCTCAATCTCTTCACCATCCATCCTGATGCTGTCAATTGGTCTAGTGGTGAGAATCTTTGTCTTCTTGACATTGAGCCTCA